TGTCCTGTCCTTATTCCTTTTATTTCTCTCTAATTGCTCAGGCTAATAGTTCTAGTTCTGACAGTTCCAGCACTATACTCTGTATAAGAGTGGTAACAGTGGACAGCTTTGTCTTGTTCCTAATTTTAGAGTGAATGCTCTCAGTTTTTGATCATTTACTATGATGCTGGCTGTTGGTTTGTCATAAATAGCTTTTACCAGATTGAAGTAAAGACAATCTATTTCAATTTTCCTTAGAGTTATTATCATGAATGAGTGCTAGACTTTATCAAAAGCTTTTTCTGCATCTATTGAAATGATCATGTGATTTTTATCTTTGGCTGAATCAATATGGTGGATTACATTTATTGATTTGTATATGTTGAACCATCCCTGCATTCCTGGAATGAATCCCACTTGGTTGTGGTGTATAATCTTCTTGATGACTTGATGCATTCTGTTTGCTAGTATTTTTTTGAGGATTTTTGCAGGCTTTTGGCTCACACCACACAGTCCACTGAAGCTCCTCAGCCATTTAAGGTAACTCCTCAGCCACTTAGGGTAACTTAGGGCCCAATCAGGAACCGGGTGACATACCAAAGGTCCCTGGCTGTTTGAGATGCTGGGCCCTACCTAGGTCCAAGCTGCACAGCAAGGTAGAGTTCAACTGTGCAGGCCTTCGGCTCATGCCACTCTATGTATTTCTTTTGAATTCTCCCATTTTATTGGAGAATAGGTTCTCAAAGTGAGACAGAAAAACAAACTCTAGGACCACTCCACCCCCAAGGACTCAACCCTGAGCCCTGCTTGTGATATGATATTGTATTCATACTTTGATCTTAACCACAAGAATACAACAGCCTCTGTGCCTTGCTGGACCTCTCTTCTGTTTCCTGTGAAAGATTTCCCTCCCTGTATATACCTTGCTGTACCCTTCTGTCTTCTCCCATAGGAGCTGCCTCACAGCCCTGTGCTACCTGACTCCCCTGCCTATGGAGGCTTATCAGGTGTCCAAAATTACAAACTTGTCACCTTTAAGTAACTACTTTTGTTTGACTCATCCTTTTCCTGCCACAAACTCTATATATAACAGCTTCCCCAATCCAGATTCGGGGCTCACATTTTGGAGTACTAAACTCCTCTGTAGCAAAAATAAAGAGCTCCCTCCACTTTGAGTGCAGCCTAATGATTTCCTGTGTCACTAATAAATCTGACTTTGCTGTAACATTTGGTAAAATATAAATTGCTGTAACAAAAGTAGTTACTAATAATCTTCTAGATTTTGTCAGAGACCATTGTGAATTTGTTTTTCATTTTTAATTGCATTTATTTGGTTTTGGTCTCTTTTTGGTACAGTTTGTAGGGGGTTTGTGTGTTGTGTTTATTTTTTTAAAGAACCACTTTTTTTCCCTCTTTGTATCTTTGTGGTTGTTTTAGCCTCAGTTTCATTAATTTGTTCTCTTATTTTTATAAGTTCCTTCCTTCTGCTAGCTTTGGATTTGGATTGTTCTTGTTTTTCTAGAATCTTGAGTTATATCATTACATTATTTGGATTCACTGTTTTTCTGACGTTGGCATTTGCAGCTTTGCACTTCACTCTTTCATTGTGTCCCATAGGTCCTGGTATGTTAGAGTGGCATTATCATTTGATTTTTGGAAATAATTTCTTCCTTGATTTCATGACCTATTCATTATTTAAGAGAGTATGGTTTAATTTTTGTGTGTTTGCACAATTTCTGTATTTTGTTTTGCCATTGACTTCTAGTTTTGTTATACTGTGATATAATATGCATGAGATAATTTTGGTTCTTTAGTATTTAGTTAAGCATGCTATTTGGATTAATATGGTCTATTTTGGATAAAGTCTCATGGGCTGAAAAGAATATGCATTCTGTTATTGTTAGGTAGAATACTGTAGGCACAGTGTCTGTCAAAGTTTGGTCTAAATCTGATTTCTTTGTTGATTTTTTTTTTGTCTGTTCATTTGTGATAATGGGATATTGAGCTTCCCTAGTAACAGTCATATTGGCATTTATATGGTTTTTCATGTGTGTTTGGTACATACATGTTTATAACTGGTACCGCTTCCCATTTGAATTGTTCTCTTAACCGGTATGTGGTGACCTTCTTTTGCCTTGTCTGTTTGTTTTGGCTTGAAATCCACTGTATCTGAAATTAGGATAGCTACTCCTGATTTTCCAGGTTCTCATTGCATGGAATAATGTCTTTCATTGTTTGATTTTTTAATCTGTGAATTTCTTCTTGGATTAAAGGTATGTCTTGTATATTGCATATCATTGGGTTTTGTTTCTTGATCCATTCTGCCAGTCTTCCTCTTTCAATTGCAAATTGGGGCCATGTACATTGTGAGTTATTACTTAAAAGTGTTGACCTATTCATTGTATCCCTGTTCCTGATTTCCAGGTGTTTTGCGTTTCTTTTTCCTCTTTAAGTGCACAGTCTGCTTGGTGTATTTATTTTCTTAGATTTTTGACATTGTTGCCATGGTTACCTCTTTCTAGGATAGCCTTGGGAAGTTTTTACAGTGCCTGTTTGGTAATAACAAATTTCTTGAGGTGCACTGTGTTATGAAAATTATTTCTTCATCAAATTTTGAAACACAGTTTTGTGAGATACGTAAATCTGGGTTGGTAGTTCTTGTCTTTTAGGGCTTGAAATATTTGATTCCACGCTCTCCTGGCCTTTAAGGTTTGTGTTAAAAACTCTGTTGTAATTTTAATGAGTTTACTTTCATAAGTGATTAATTCCTTTTCTCTAATATTAACAGAATCCCTTTTAAGATTCTTTCCCTGTGTTAAACTTCTAGGATTTTGTGTATGATATTAATATGGGGGAAATGAAACTCCCAATCTACTAAATGTTCAGTACGAGTTTGTGTTTTCTAAAATTAAAGAATGAATTTTAGGAACAATGGAGATTAAGAGTAGGAACATTTATTGAGAGAAAGAAAGCTTCTGTCTGAGAGAGAGATAGAAGGGGTCTGGAGTGAGTTGCCAAAGATTCTGTATTTTCTCGGGATTTGTATAGAGTAAAACCATGACGTAAGGTGGTTCTAAAGTTTGGAAAACTGGGAACTTGCAAGGCAGATGGCATGAGGTGGGACAGAACTATGATCAACCAATAAGATTAATAGCTCAGGTAAAATTGATTAAATTGGCAATAAATGGGGAAGAGAGTCATGCAGAATGCGAGCATTCTTAGAGACCAGTGACTCTTCTCTAGGTATTGGAATAGTGACTCCTTACTTCTCAAGGTGATCCAGATTTAATCCCTAAGGATTATACTTAATGGTGTGGTTACATTTGTTTTGCCTTCTTTCTGGAGATCTGGCCCACAGCAAGAGGTGTGTCTCTTCCTCCAAAGTCATCAGACATCTAGTCCGCTGTGCATGCTGGCTTCTTCAAGGGCCTACACCTGTCTGACTGCCTATATAATATTTCTAATGAGCCCAGCTGCCTGTAGCAATGTGACATCAAGAGTTTTAATTATGGCTGTTCTATATCCCTCACTTATCTGTATGTTTAATTCTTTCCCTATATTTGGAAAGTTTTCTGGTATTATTTCTGTAAACAGACTTTTTATGCTGTTTGTGCTAACTTTTCATTTTCACTTACTCCATTGAATCTTAGTCTTTTTGCAGTGTCTAATAGCAACTGGATTCATTTTTCATGTTCTCTTATTTTTAAAGTGTCTCGGAGCAATTAGAGTTTGAAAACATCTCTATCTTCTGATATTCTTCTGCGGCCCATAAATTTAGTATACAGAAATATCTTGGTTTCCCAAACACTTCTGTTTATAACAATTTAGTTCATGATTAGAAGCATTCAACAAAATTTTGCTTCTGTTTACAAACTCACATATTAGGTGATAAACAGGAACATGGCTGTCTTCTTCAGAATCATGGAATTAATTAAATTCACGAGCCGAGGTTCCCCTGTAATTTTTAAACTCCCCAATTTCTCTCTGAAATCTTTTCAAGAACTGTAATTCTTTGCTAAACTGTTCATTCATGCTTAATATGATTTAGTTTAGCTCAGCTATCTTTTTAAGTGTCTTTTGTAAATTCCCTAATGCCTTACATATGATACCCATTATCTGTTAGTTGTATCTTCTGTAAGCCTGCCACACACCTTTATTGATCTGTTGTTAATCTCCTCTGTTATCTGTTCAAATAGATCTGCTTTGTGGCTTTTACTTTCCTTCCTCCTAGATGCCTAGTAGAGCTTTGAGAATTTCGGAGTTTGAGAGGCTGTTTTGTTGGCCTGTTGTCTCATGTTTCTGTTGTTTTTCATTTGTTTGGTTTGGTTTTGTGGTTAGGTTTGTGGGTGTTTATAACCTTGATCAAGACTTTGTTGGTAGTATGGAGATCTCTTTCATCAGTTTGTTTTTCAGTGGGTGTGGCTAATGATAGACCTTTGCCTCTGTCTCAACATCAGACCACCTGTTAATTTGGGGAGGGAATGATGCGGTGTAATTGGCCCAGCACCCAGTTTTCCAGGAATGGACTGTAGTATTGTTAATGTGAGGAAAGTATTCAAATATTGGTATATAAACAAAACCTACTAATAGCAACAATTATGGGACTCTGGCAGTATCAAGTAAGTCAGCAACAGTAATATCATCCAAGACAAAGTGGATATTAATACACCACAAGTACCAATAACATCAACTTTATTAACCTTAAACTGTAAATCTAAAATTACAGTATAATTATAATATTACAGTATAAATACAGCAAGTATCTAAAGTGCAACCCTCAGTAATGATGAAAAAAATTTCAACAGTAATACCATAGTTAACTATTTAAATAATAATAAAACTTAATTTTGATATCTTTATAGGATAGTGAAAGTGAAACTTTTAGAGCTTTAGGTCCCCCTTTCCCATCATCATCATCATCATCATCATCATCACCACCACCACATTTAGGATCTATAAAGATTACACTCATTGAGGATAGTTGATACATGTACGTGATGCATCTCTTATTCTCCTCCCAGGTATTTTAATGAAGGAACTGTCCTTGCACACTATGCTGATGTCCTTGGTCTTTTGCTTAGATTGCGGCAGATTTGTTGTCACATTCACCTTCTTACAAATGTAGTGGCATCCAGTGGTCCTTCAGGTAAAGAAGTATGATTGGTTCATACTATTACATTTGTTAGAGATATTTAAATCTAAATGAGAAATTTTTTATAATGCCTAAATTTGATTTGTAATTTTGTTCATGAAATAGACATTAATTTTTTAATGAAAGACTGAGTGGTAAATATACACAAACATTTTTTTACCAGTGAAATAGAATTCTGAGTTCTTTTCCAGATTTTCAGTGAAAATTTTCCATGAATTTACATGAAAGTTTCATTTTGGATTGGCCTTCTGTGCTAATGTGGGCAGACCATATTATAATGAAGTTTCTGTATAAATTATGTGAGTTGACTATTGTCTTCTGAATGTTTCTTGAAATTTCAAGTTTAAACTATGTTATGAAAATGGAAGGATGAAAGACTGCCTATGTGGTAATGGCCAAGATACGTAAGGCGAGCTCACTTGTCTAGTCACACTACAAATCTTGCTCTGAAATTAATTTTCTAGCCTTTTCTCTAGGAAATGATACACCTGAAGACCTGAGAAAGACATTAATAAAGAAGATGAAGTTGATTCTGAGCTCTGGTTCAGATGAAGAATGTGCAGTTTGCCTGGATTCTTTAACATTTCCTGTGATAACTCATTGCGCACATGTATTTTGTAAACCTTGTATTTGCCAAGTCATTCAGAATGAGCAGGTTAGTTTTTTGCCCAGTATAGGTTCAGTGTTTAGTTGAAGCACCTTTCTTTAATGTAAGTGGAAAACCGAAGTCTAAAGGAGTATTTATGACTTGGATTTAATAGTGCCCTTTAATGGCTAATTATTCCAATAATTTAATAGGTGATATGTCTCTTAAGCTTTTGTAACAGAGAAAGGGATTATTTTATAAGCCTTGTCTTATAGTCAGTAATCCTACTTTAACTGTTTGATCATTGTTGTCCAGTAAATATAATAATGTGAGACACAAAAGTAATTAAAGTTTTCTAATGATTTTACAAAGTAAAAAGAAACAGGAAATTAATTTTTATCATATATTTTAATTTAGGCCATTATATCGAAAATAAGAGTATAATATGCTATACTTTCTATATTATTTTTAAAATAAATTCTGATAGTATTCTATGCTTGCCTGGCCACACTTCAAAGATTTGACACATGGCTGTGTGCTATTATATTGGACAAAATAGGCCTGGACTCTTATGTGGTAAAATATTTTAAGGTTTAAGCAGCCCAGCTAGTGCAAAAGCTTTTTCTTACCATTTTAAATTAATACATATAGAAAAGTACACATATTATGATTATATAGTTACTGAATTATCGTAATGTGAACATGTTCATGTAAACTATTATCCAAGTATCCTTTTATCCTCTTTTAAACTTAACCCTGTCCCTCCCAGTGAATAACTCCATGTACTAATTTCTAACATAGTTTTAGTTTCAGAATCTTTTTTTATTGTGGTTGTGTTTGGTATCTAGTTATTTAAGATGTAATCTCATTTTATTAGTAGGTGCAATAGATGTTGCTTTGAATAAACCTGACAATATTTAGGCTATCTGATAGCTTTATAAGCTATTGCAAGCTTTATTAGTTACTAGCTTAACAAGCCATTGAGAAGAATTTTTTTCTGAAGAACAGTTCCTTTATTCTAAATAAATACGGCTAATAGGTTTTTTTTTTTTTTTTTTTAATATAGCCACATCCTAAGTGCCCTTTATGCAGAAATGATATTCATGGAAATGATCTATTAGAATGTCCTCCAGAAGAATTGGCAAGTGACAGTGAGGAAATGTCTAATGTGGAATGGACATCCAGTTCAAAGGTAAAGTACATTTGAAAGTATTTAAATACTTGCTTTATATAAAGAAATATATACCATGTAACAAAATACTAATTCTACTTCTAATCTCATCATTTGAATATAATTTTGGTGGCTACTGGCTTCATAAGTGATGCATTTGGGAGGAAAAAGAAATTCAGATTATCACATTATTCTTTCAGTGTTTATATTTTTTAAAATTAGTCTTTCATTTTTGCCTTTTAGTTAAGGTAAACAGCAGGACCTTTCTCTTAAAATTTTGGGATTTGATGAGTGAGTACAAGTGATATATGGAGATAGCATTGTAAACCACTAATATGTACAATTACTACATGTTAATTTTATACATTTTAAATACAATGATTGCATTTCCTTTCGTAGTTGAAAAATAGAATGTAATGGCTATCTTATTTTTTTCAGATTAATGCTCTAATGCATGCTTTGATTGAATTAAGGAAGAAGAATCCCAACATAAAGAGTTTAGTTGTTTCTCAGTTTACAGCATTCCTGTCTTTAATAGAAACACCACTTAAGTGAGTTCAACAGTGATTTTCACTCTGATTAAAAGGGTTTTATACATGTGTATTGCTTTTTATACTTAAAACAAAAACCTATTTTACCAAGTTTAGTCGTTCCATCCATTTAAAATGATTTTCAGAGGCAGAGAGTGTTTCTCAAGTTTTGGATTTTAAAGGTAAGTCCTGAATTTATTAGAAAAAGGTAGATTTCCATGCCTATCTTTTATTAGAAGGGCTCAGGAGACATTTGTTGAAGTAAATCAGTGAAGGCTGGGGGCTAGCTCACTGGGAGAAAACATGTCTACATGCAAGGCCTGGGATCCAGTCCCCAGAATCACAAAGATAGGTAAATAAGTGAAAGAATTCGTTGAACCAACATTCCTGTTGAACCCTTTGCAACTGTAGTAAATGCTACCCATCTCTTCCTCATTAGAGCCTCTGGATTTGTGTTTACTCGTTTGGATGGTTCCATGGCCCAAAAAAAGAGAGTTGAATCAATTCAGTGTTTTCAAAACACTGCAGCAGGATCTCCAACCATAATGCTACTGTCCTTAAAAGCAGGTGGAGTTGGTTTGAATCTTTGTGCAGCTTCTCGAGTGTTTTTAATGGATCCAGTAAGTAGTTCTGTAAACTTTTCAAAATGTTATTATTTCATCCAAAAAAGAAAAGACAAAAACTATGTGATAAATTGTTATAACTGTGAAACTTCTTAAGCAAACTTTTGAAATGGATAACTTACTAAGTGTATACTGAGGGCATTTCTTGTGAGGGAGGGAACGTGATTGTTCCAGTTTTAGAGATGAGGAAACTGAAGCACATAAAAGTAAATAATTTGCCCAATATGCACACTTCATATTAGCAAAGCCAGATTGAAGCTTCTGTGTTCTTCCTATTATGCTGTGCTGTTCTGCTCTCCTCTGAGTAGATAATAAATCTCTGTTAACTGTAATCCTTTAAGATAATGGTTCATCCAGCCAACAGATGATGAGAGATCCTGCCTTTGTCAGGATGTGGTAACAGGCATTGGGAATCTGACTATGAATGAGGTAGACTAGATGACTACCCTCATGGTCCTAGTGATCTCAGGCTTTAATGTGGTTAAGAATTAGCAATTTCAAACCTTTTTCTTCAGAGATTCAAGAGTTCTTAGGTGAGATTCAGGAAGATTCATTTTATACATTTCATCACAGGTGTTCAAGTTCAGGGTCACAGTTTGAGACACTATGATTAATGGAATGTTCTGGGTAAATTTCAGGGCCTAATACAATACAGTCACTTATATGGTTGTACAGTACAACCCTGGAGGTAGAATGGAAACTAAAATTCACTCAACTTACCCAGCAGTGTGACTTGAATAAGCATCCACATAGGAGCATGTTTTTCTGGGCTCATAAAGGGACTGTAAAGATTCTGAACTAATTTAATTCCTAATGTATATTAAGTACACTTCAGACTAAAGGCAATCCTTTGCTGTTCATAGACTTAAGATTTGTGATTTTAGCTTGTTGGTTGTAACTCGTAAGATTCATAAGATGGAGGTTTCCCCCTCTCTGCTGAGGGTAACCTTCTCAGTGAGATTACAGCTGGAGTCACATCTAAGTTTTCACTGATGGCAGCAATAGCCTTGGTATGGTGGATAAAGTTTTAAATCTTTGTTAGTTTTTAAGTTATTATTTAAATAAATATATAACTGTAGTTTCATATTAATACCCAGTGATCGTCCTATAAGTTGACTTTTAGAACAAATTTCCAAATTATTGTTCTTTCTCTTGCTGATAATCTTAGTACTGGAAAAAAAAAAGAGGCTGATATATCAAAATAGAATAATTGGTTTTATAAAGTTGAGCAGAGACTTCCGGGAGAACATGGTGGACAGATAACAGCAACTACCGGAGGCTCTCTGAAAAACTAGGCTCAGAAGCCAGGTATGGTGCGGACTAAAGAGACATAAGCAGGTGGAGTTATGCTCTGCTGACTCAGGAACGAACTCGGCTGAGAGAAACCAACTTGGAATGCAGTCCTGGTGCTAAAACAGGAACAGAAAAGTCTCGCTGCTGAGGCTGGACCCTGCGCCATTGGAAGCCGTGATTTGGGTTTCCCGCCGCGCGGTGGCTGGCTGCCTCTACATGGGCTCGGCAAGGAGAGAGACGCGCGGAAACTCTGAGAACGGGAGTCTGCGAACGGAGTCGAAAACAGGACAGGCAGGGAGGCATGTTCTGACTTGTGGCGAGGTGAGTGAGAGAAACTGACACTCCACCACAGTTTGACTCCAGCGGACTTTCTGGGCCCGAGCAGTCCTGCGGGAGCAGGGCGCGGTGGCGACTCCAGCCACACATTCCCCTCTCGGGCGGGATTGGTGAAAAGTGCCTGGCCTGCGTGACGCTGCCGGCGGACCTGGTAGGCTGTCCCAACCCAGATCCCAGAGCCTGACGGTGGCCGGGAGGGGAGACGCGTAGGCTGCCTGGTCTGTAACTCCCTGGTGCACAGCGGTGAGCGGGAACACCTAACTGGCGCAATTCGATCAGGCTGTGGCTGACTGGGAGAGAAGCTGGGCCTCTTATATAAGCTTGCATATATAAGGAACAGAGAAGAAGAGGCAGCATGGGAAGAGGCAGCAACAAGAAAGTCTCCTCGGCCCCCAATTCTGAGAAACAGGCAATAGCAGACACCGCACCAATATACATAAGGCACCATATAGAGAGCCTCATAGACCAATTCAGGAACGAAGTTATCAATGACCTGAAGCTAGAAGTATGCAGAATAGTTAGAGAAATGCTAAGTACCACCCAAGAAAAAACAGGCGGTGGAATGGAAGAACAGAAAAAAAGGGGAGAATTGTTTGATGGAGAAAACAGAGAAAGCATAGAATACGTGAAGCAGGTTCAAAGGGACTACCAAGATACTAAGAAGTCTATAGAAGACTGGCATAACAGCTTGAAAGAAACTAAGGACAGACTATCTGAACTGGAGGGCAGACTTGTAATATGGGAGAATGAAATGAAAAACTTCTTAAAAATAACAAAGAAACAAACAGCAATAATACAAAGACAAGAAGATGATAAGAGGATCCATAACTTAAGGATTAAGAACATAAAAGAAGAAGTAGGGACACAAACAAGTGAACTACAAAAGCTACTCACAGAAATAATCCAGGAGAATTTTCCTAATTTAGCAAAAGGTAAAGATACTCAGATGTATGAGGCATACAGGACCCCAGCTACCTACAACCCAAACAGAGCAACACCCAGGCATATAATAATAAAAATTCCAGAAATTCAATACAAGAACAGAATATTAAAAGCTGTAAGAGACAAGAAACAGACCACTTACAAGGGAACACCCATCAGAATTACAGCAGATTTCTCGGCACAAACCATCAAATCACGAAGAGCGTGGGGGGAAATAATTCAAGCTTTGAAAGATAATAATCTCCAGCCAAGATTGAGATATCCTGCACAACTGTCCCTGGAAATTGATGGAAAAACAAGGTGCTTCCAGGATAAAGAGGAACTGGGGGAATTTGCAACCACCAATTCAACTCTACAGAGAGTATTGCAGGATATTCTAAAAAAAGAAAAATACAAAGAATCCAGAAATAGTGGAGGCCACAACTAATGGAGCAGAGAACAAAGTGAAGAAGACAAACTGACAGCTACTGACAGAATAAGAGCTCAACAGAAATGAGGCAGAGAAGATTGGATGATAGGAACAGCTATTTTGGAGAAAATGACATCTTAATAGATAATACTGATTTAGTATCATCTTGTTTTGAAGTCTCATCTAGCTTTTGTCCTTCTGTCTCCAATGGTCTAAATAGGTTGTATCTTACTGGATTTTATTATGTACGATAGTATAAGCAAAAACCTTTTAAAGACAAGGAGATTATACAGAAACCATTATTCATTTTCTGTTAGTCGATTCTAAATACTCTGTAATGCTGTCATTCTCTTAAATGGTTTTACATTGTTTTGATATACTTAATGCTACAGTATACGAAGTTGTACTCAAGGATTTCAAGGAAAGAGACAATATGGTAACTACTTTTAGGTCAGGATTATCTGGTGGTGAAACACTATTCTGCTTAAATGGTTATGTTTTGATCTGTGCTATTTCGTTGTTATGCCCTCTTTTATCTCAATCTCCACTCCATTATTTACTTTTTTAATGCTTTTTTAAATTTTTATCCTTTTAATTAAAGGAAAAAAATAACAGGATATATTATAGTAACCCACTTTGACTTTCCATTACCTCGATTTAAAGCCCTGTATTACTCTCCCCATCTGGTTTTTAACTGATGTTCCCCTATTCTGTTTTGCTGGATAGTATCAGGTTCGAAAATTTAGGCATCAGCTGTGAAGATAATGAGATTCATTATAACGCCCATTCTCGTTGACTTTTATCTACTTTTGAAGACCTACAATGTCTCCAATGTTTTGGTTTTGTCGGTTTTGTTCTTTACGGTTTTGTTCAATTGTATTATAACTAATGGTATAGGCAATTCTATTAGAGATAGCGGGAGGCATTATGGTAACCATTGTTGATCACCTTGTATTATGTTTTCACATTATCTATTATGTCCACCCTTTTGACTTGACCGATTCTGTTCTGTTATGCCACATTTGGTTTTACTCTCTTCCAAAAAAGTGATAAGAACCATGAGAGCAATGAAACCCAAAATGTGTAATAGTCATTGTACAAAAGAGAGGAAAAGAAAGTGCTCTAAACTATATAACTGCATGTATATTTAAGTGTATAAGATAGAATATGATATCACAGAGTTTTATTGGATCATTGAACAGAACTGTTTGCAGTATCATTGATGGAATGTCCACTTTACAAGCTTTAATTTTGTGATTTGAACAGTTATTTCTAAGATGACAATATGTAATCCATTAACTAGTAATTTCCTACTGTTCATTTTTTTTTCTGCAAATCTGTATAACTTGTACCCTTTCTCTGCTTTTTTTTTCTTTTCTCCTTAAATAAAATTAAAAAAAAATTGTTTGACCATTAAATTAAAAAAAAAAAATAAAGTTGAGCAGAGACTCAACTCTTTAGCTGTTTAGTTTTATAAAACACTGTCAGAATATTTTAGCAGTTTTATAGTATGTTTCATTGAACATACGGCTTTACAATGTTTCTAACTCCAAAACTCAGGAAAAAAATTGCTCATGAAAATCTTTTACCTTTTCAAACAACAGTATTCAAGAGTTCGGGTGGGATTTTGATGTCCATTATGAGCTTCTAATGAAGCTAAATTGCTTCCTGAATCACTACATGTGAGAATGGAAACTGTGAGTTTTACTGAATCTCTGGTAGTCATATGAGATATATATTACCCGATTATTAGGTTGCGAGATAAAACACAGGCAACAGGGACAAAATGTATGTATAAAATACAAACATTCCCAATACACCTGTTAGTTTCAAAAAGTCATAAACTAAGTGTATTCTTAGATTCAACTTCTATACTGAAGAGGAACCTGAAATTCAAATCACAGGTTGATAACAAAGCCATCTATCTCTTTCTAGACCCCAAAGAAACTTAAAATAGATAGTAGCAGTTAATCTGAATAAGAATTATATTAAAAATCTATCACATGTATATACATCTCTGATTTTGTTCGTGTTTTCAGTTGGTACTTTGCTATATATATATATGCACCTTTTCCCCCAAATACTTTGTTTTCAGCTTCAAGAATCATCCTCTGAATTCCCATGTAAAGTTTAATGATCCTTATCCTGGCTGTGATAGTATTTTAAAACCATTTGGCTGTTTTTTTCCAGCAAACTCTGTGTCTTTTGGTGCCCCGCCCCCACCTTATTTTTTGATGGTACTGGCCATCAGATGTAATACCATTGTACTTAGCTATATGCCTCTCAATACCCTTTTAATTTTTTTATTTTGAGACAGTGTCTTGCTAAGTTGCCCATACTGGACTCAAACCTGTGATTCTCTTGCCTTAGCCTGACAGAATACTGGAATTACAAGTTCATCACACCATCATTTTATTCTTTAGTTTAAGATAATCCTTATGACTGTGTCTTATGTTAACCACCAAATAATTACTTTTTGACCTCAGTTTCGAAATCAAAACTGATTTCAAATGCAGGTACAGAAAATTACATCAACAAAATCTTAAGCAGTTTTTACGACTTTAAACTAATCATGAAAACTTTTTTGTACTTGTATGAGTGAAGGAAAGTGAAAGAAGAACTGAAGACCAGAAAAAGGGAGAGAAAATTTTAATAAGTGGGCAATTGATTGCTTTATTTTTCTGTTGTAGATGAAATCATCTAAGAGAACATATAAACTTCTTTGCCTGTGTTTACCACATACAGATCCACTTTAAAATGAAACGGTCAAACACCAGATATTCATATTCATTGGATTCTCTGTTAGGTACAGGTTAAGCATCCCTCATCTGAAGGATTCTGAAATTTAAGCCTTTTTGAGTATTGACATGACACACCAAAGTTTTTGGAATCTTTTAGATTTCAGATTTTTGGATCTGTGATGTTCAGTCAGTAAAGCCTATGCAAATACTCTGAAAGCTGAAGAAGTATTCAGAAGTATTTCTGAAATCTGAAATACTTCTAGTGTCATGAATTTTGGTAAGAGATAGTCAACCAGTGTTAGAAATACAGCGAACCCTTGACATACAAACTTCAGTTGGTTTCTGAGAGCTGGTTGTAACTCAGGTTGTCAAATGAAGTCTCAGGCTCCTTTACACAGCCTTCAAAGTGTCTCTCCTGAATACACAGACCTCAGTGCCTTTAGAGGCATTGGCCGCGATTTCTTAGTTAACCCATATACGAAACGATGTTGTAATGTTCCTTCCAGAACTCTTTAAGGGCTAAATCTGTACCTGAGACCATCTGGAAGCACAAGCTGCTGACATTGGGAACATAACTCAAGACTTTCGTCATAAAACTACAATGCCGGTCATAACCCAAGTTGTTCATATGTCATGCTACAGGTCCACTGTAGCATGAAATGCCATGGAGAATGCCTGTCATCATAGTGATTGGGCAGGTCACATTTTCCCCCAGTACATGTGCACTGTCCAGTACCTGAATTCATTCAGACACGGATGAATGTCTAATACCTCAATGAAAGGACTGAGGCAGAACACTCACACATCGGAACTATAATAAAACAACTCTTGTTCTTCTTAGGCCTGGAATCCTGCTGCTGAAGATCAGTGCTTTGACAGATGTCACCGACTTGGCCAGAAGCAGGAAGTTATTATCACAAAAGTGAGTTTGGAACTACTTATTTTTAAGATTAGTATGTTTAAAAAAATAATATAAGTAAAGAGTAACTACATTATTGTAATAAATTTAAATAGTATTATGGAAAGAAAAATATTAAACTTTTTCTGCTTCATTTGTAGATTCAAATATGTTCTAGAACCTTTGCTCTCTAGTTAAACACATTCTTACTCATATACATATTATTTAAAAGTTCAAAGATAAAAGGAATCATACTTCATTACTCTGTAACATACTTTTTCCTTAAATAGGTACATTAGAGAATACTATAAAAGTACATTTAGATGAGCGCTTTCATTTATTTATTTATTTTTTGTCTTTTTTTGAGACAGGGTCTCTCTATTGTAGTTCAGGCTGGCCTTGAGCTCACTTTTTAGCTGAGGCTGGTCTTGAACTTACAACGATCCTCCTGCCTCAGCCTCCCGAGTGCTGGGATTACAGGTGTGAGCCCCCACACCCAGCTTAGATCAGCACTTTTCATTGTGGTAAAATATCCACAGTGAATTCTACAATTGTAACTATTATTTTAAGTGTGCAGTTCAGTTGCATTAACTCACATTGTGTTTTACCACTACCACCGTCCCTCTCCAGAACTGCTTGTCACCTCACACTGAAACTCTGCCCATTAATTCTCCTCTCTCCCAGTCCCTGGTACACATCATTCTGCTTTGTCTCTGTGACTTTGACTCCAAGTTCATTTAATACCTGCATATAGATATAAACTTAACCAGTTTAACTTTTCGTTAATAAAAACAGTGCCTTACTAAGCATTATTATACATGCATCTTTGTGCAATGTATTTCTTCATGATAGGTTAAGAAAACTAGTATTCTGGATTTAGAATTTTTTATTAGTTAACTATCAACTTCCTTTCAAAATTGGCTTTATAATTTGACAGAGATGTGTTTTTATGATGATCTAAAAAATATCCTTCTGATTTGCATATAGTTAAATTTATTTCACATTTGTTGTTCATTAATATTTTTTCTGTGAATTCCCTATCAGTTGTCATAGTTTTCATAGTTACAGTACAAATACAGTTTTATAGCATAAAGGACTCCTTGACGCATTCTGATTTGAAATCATTTCTTACAGAGTTAAGAATTGTTTATTGCAGGAGCTTGCTTAGCTGTAAAACTTTATAAGCTTTCTGTCATGAAAAAGCTGTAGATTTTTATGATTGAAAAGATGCCCACTTTTTTTTTTTTAAATAGCTCTTAGGTTGTAAAGTCTTGCTAATGATGTCAGGCTTTATCTTCTGATCTTGAAAACTTTTTGTCTGTGTTTACTCGTGATTCTTTTAGGAGGTTTTGTGTTTTGGGAATGGAGGTCTAAATTTATTCTTTTTCCAAATGAAGAACCATTTGTTCTGCCACTTTTTAAAGTTTTCCTGTTTTCTAACTAATATAAAATGTACATGTGAATTTCTTTCTAAACTGTTCTGTTTTTCTGATTTTTTCCTGTTCTCAGAACAGTTTTATAATGACTACGGTTTTATGAAGTATGCTCTCTTATCTAAGGGTAAAATATTCTCATTACTCTTCATTTACAAAAATCTATTGGTTATTACTTACTGCTGTTGGACTTTTGGTCTAGGACAGTGGTGGCAAATCTATGTCACATGTGCTGCAGTGGGCTGTTACAATTGAGAGCTCTTAAAGGTTTGCCATCACTGCTAGGGTAGCAAATCCCATTTGAGAAATATTATTTAATCCCAGCACTCTGGAAAGCTGAGGCAGGAGGAATGCAAGTTGGTATATTGCCAGCTTGGACAATATACCAAGACCTTGTCTCAAAAGTTTGAAAAGTTAACATGTAAAAATTAACTCAGGATGTAGCACAATGTAAAGGCCTTGGATCAATCCCAAATTTCCCCTTTCCAGAAAGACAAGATACTATTTTTGATTTACTGAATTTGATTCCTTTGAGCTGGGCGTGGTAGCACATGCCTGTAATCAAAGCACTTGGGCTGCTGAAGCAGGAGGATAGCTGCAAGTTCGAGACCATCCTGGATTGTATAGTGAATCCAGGCCATTCTAAAATACATAACAAGACCCTCTTTTTATTTAAAAAAAATTTTTTTGATTCTTTTCAGAATTCTTTTGTTTATAAATAAGGGGTCTTTTCATTCAGGACCATGGATAGTATCTCCCTCTTTTTATTTAGATCTTTTATGTATTTATTTTGTTGTTTTGTTGAGACAGTATCTCAATTTGAACTCATTATATAGTCCAAACTGGCCTTGAACTCACAGCAATCTTGCCTCAGCCTCCCACGTGCTGGGATTAGGTGTGCACGCCATTATGCCCAGCTTATTTATTTTAATAGAGTTTTATAGTACAATTTATTTTGTTATTACAGTAACTGGGCTTTTTCTACAGTATTGAATAGTAACAGTTCTATTCTTGGTTTGTTCCTATTTTTGTTGTGCTTTTATTGTCTCACATTAAACATGTCTTTCATAGTTCGTAGTAGATATCCTTAATAAGATTGAGGATATGTCTTTTATTCCCAGGTTGAGGACTTTTTAAATTAAACTTTTATGAGAAATGTTGAATTTTATTAAATATATCTTAATCTGATGGGATTAACACTTTTTTGTTTCTCTTTAATTTGTTAATATTACGAATTATACTGAATAAAAAAGACTCGTATTTCCAGGCATTTTTTATTTGCTATCTATTGCTAAATTCATTTTGCTAATAGTCTGGTTACAGAGTTGCCGATATATAGCTTGTTTTTTTGCTTGAATCTGGAGATAAGGTTATAAATGTGACTTCTGTCCTTCCAGCCATTTGCTATGTAAGGAAAAGCCAGGCTTGGGTGCTGTAGGAAAGCAATGCTTAGCTCTAGAATCATAATCTTATGTTATAAATATTCCCCTTGCACATTGAGAAAAGAGGGGCTAAACAGCTTCTTTTAAGTTGTTACTGAACATTTTTGAAAGCCAAAATATGCTTCTAAGACTGGATTCCCTTTATTTTTTACTGTTTATGTTGGCAGTATTAGAATATTTTATCCTTCATGATTCTCAGTAGTAGTTCATTTTTTAGTAAGCCTTAAAATTCAAATTTTAAATTCTGTCACCTAAAAAACATCCAATTTCACCTTTTAAAAAATCTTGTTTCTTTTTAAAGTTCATTGTGAAGGATTCTGTTGAAGAAAATATGCTGAAAATACAAAACACAAAAAGAGAACTTGCAGCTGGAGCTTTTGGGACTAAAAAGACAAATGCTAATGAAATGAAACAAGCTAAAATTAATGAAATCAAAACTTTAATTGATTTATAATATGTGGATTTTAGTAAGGTGAGTTTTATCAGATACGTAAGTGCAGGATATGAGAAAATAGATTTAGGAGTAAGATCTAGAATGTCTTCTGTGCAGAACATACTGTTTTATATTAGTAAACAGGTGTTACTAACACATAATATCTTTTATATATGGATATATTTTTAATGATAATTCAAATAGCAATAAGTTCTGTTATATATTGTGGCCTAAAATAATTTTTTGAGGTAAAAGGTTACTTTGTTATTCAGCTTTTCATGGATAACCCTATGCTGAGTTTTTTTTTTCATATATCTGCTAAGTACTCAGCTTTTTCGTATTTCAAATAAAATCAGATCTGTTATTCTTTGAGCAGTGGAGAGTTTGGTATATAGGACACATTTGGTTTTTCAGCAAAGAGTCTGATTCGTAATGCAGCGGATTCACAGTTCTTGTAAAGGATTTATATGATTTTTATTGACTTTCAAACCATATTTGCATTCCAAAACCAAACTTTAAATGAGAGACCAAATTCTAAGCTAACAAATTACTTCGAACTTTTCTTTTAAACAACTTCACTGAGATAGTTTATATAGGTAACTTTTTTCCCCCCTGTGCTGGTGATGAACCCAGTAGCTTGGCACTGAGCTATGTCCCCAGCCCTGTTGTTATATTTTGAGACAGTCTTGCAAAAATCACTGTTACCAAGGATGGGCATGTCTAATCTTGGTTTCCTAGAGTGCTAGAATTACAGGTATGAGCCACCACACTTAGCTTATATCTGTAACTTTAGGTTTTGAAAAACTTAAAGACTGTGTTAAAGCACTATTTTCTCCATTTTAGTCAAGTGGTACTATGTTGTTTAAATGTAATTTGACATAGACATGAGATATATAGCCTACAGGGCTAAGAGGAAACCAGTTCTACCCAATTTAATTTGAATATCTAAATTATGGAGTTTGAAGAGATAATTCTATAGATAGATAATCTTTATTTGTATAGATTTTTGGGGAATAACTATACATTTTTATAATTCGGAAGACTGCTGTATGTGAGAGGCGTGATATCTGGATGGAAGTTAGGCTGGATGACTTCCAAAGTCATTTCAACTCTTAAATAAAGCATCTTAATCCTGAATGTAAAAATTTCTTTGTTATGTGTGTTTGAAATCAGAATTTGATTTTGTAACTTTGGTAACTCATTCCTCCATTTTTGTTGTTATTATAAACAAACTCATAGTAGCTGCCACAGAATTCTAGATAACTTTTGGGTCATATCTAAAAGAAGTAAGCTATAAATTTAGCACCTGTGTTAGGTAGTCCATGGCTTTATTTCCAAAATAAATACTTCCTGTAATAAGAGATGCTTTGTGCTTGGTATAGACTTAACATCTGAAATTTTACTTACAGTGTTAAAAGTGGCTTGACTGAAAGATAATAGAGGCAAATTGTGTTACAGGGTACATATCTAAGGTATGTGTCAAATATGTCACCAGCTAAGTCCTTTCCCCCGGGTCCTATCTCTTGCTCCAAGGAAGCACATTGCCATCAAGAATTTTCTCAATCTTTTTTTTTTCCTGAGAGGTAACGAAAAGTAGAGGGCTCATATTCATTAACATCAATAAAGACCTTTTTGCTGGGATGAGAGAGCATTAACTTGAGGTTGGTCAGCTAGCATTAGAGCCCTAGGGAAGTTCTTTACCTGGTATGTCTAGCATTAAAACAGGTTCATCAGAATCTTATTAAATGTGATATATAGTTTCTCTGTATACTAATATTACAGTGAAATTGAGGCATTTTTGAAAAAAAAAGTCTGTTAGTCTTGATTACAGAAGCAGAGCCAGTTAAATTCAACTGTCAGGTAAAGCATCTTACCCAAATACTTAAGAGTTGTGTTTTTAAACATGTAAGTTTGGCAAGTCATTTAAAAATGTTTTGTTTTTGTATAGTCCTATTAAATGGTGTTAAATAATTTAATTCATCTCAAGAAAATATATACACCACTGCAATGAGAACTATGCTTATGCTGTTAATGCTCTTTGTTACATAGAATAGCAGCTTTAGAAATACATTGAAAACACTGTATTTCCAGTTGTGGTTCAAACTGAATTGTGATTTAAACTGGATTGTTTTAAATTTAAAAATAAATGTTTCAAAAACTGATTACCTTTCTCCCTGCCATGATTTGACTTTTCTCTTTAAATGCAAATTTTATTAAACTTCATTTCTATGAAGATGTTTAACATTTTACCTGTGTATAAAAAATACTGTTAATAGAGTCATATTAATACCTTTTGCTTGGTTTTAACTGGGTTCAACTTCTTGTTCAAAAATAAGTGAATATTTAAGGTTCACTTTAATGCTTTGAGCTGACACTAGTCCTAGTGAATTTCTTCAACTATACGGGAAAAAATAGCTGTGATGATACATATACAAATGGCACTCTAAACCACTGTAGATTTGCCCTAAAAATTATAATCAGATTGGAAATGATGCAAATATCCTGTGTAGTTTATTACCCATGAGTATTAATGAAATTATAGTAGGCAGTGAAAACTTTTATGTTGGGATATGTCAGAGACATTGGTGTATTTTTTTCCTCTAAGTACTTGCCAAAGTTCTTTGTTAGCCAGACAGATTTGATGTCTGGCTCATAATTTACCAACCTTAAATTTTTAATACATTAACTTTATATCTTTAAAGTTTCAGTGAGGAAGTATTAGGTGAAAGGGGAATTAAGACCAATATTCACCTTATACATGAATTAGACCTTGGTCAGGCATGGAGCTGATTCCCAAAGGAAAGAAATGGATTTAGCCTTTTGAGTAAGCAAGTTTGTCTTACAGCCAACATCTGCTGATGCACCACTGTTTACAAAAGATTTTTAAAAGGGTATATTGATAGCCTCCACTAATGTATGTTTTATAATTTGAGCTGCTTTTAATACATCTAAGTAACTCTGTCATTTTGGGCTTCCTGAAGAGTTTGCAGTGCAGCTATGCAGCTTTGTTGGAAAAATCAATAATACTTCAATGAAGACATCCTTGAAAGATTGGGAAAAGAAAATGTTAGCTTAGGTCAGTGATTTCCCACATAACTTGACACACTTTTATGCATATTACAGACTGTTTTCTTTGGTAAACTAGTCATTATTTGTGATTCTACAAGTTAATGGCTTTGGCTAAACTGACAACTTCGTTTCATGCTTTATAATAATTAGGGCACAGTAATACGACACAAACTGGTACAGTGTCCAACCCCGTCCATTTGATGTTTTGACCTCTTTAAGTTAAAAAACAAAACAAAAAACAACCTGGAGTCATTTCTAAATATACTTTATTTGGATATATATGGCCACAAGACCAACGTGGCATTCTTTATCTGAAGACTAGGTTTCTTTTCAGTTTAACCAAGGGCTCAGTAACCAAAAGGCAGGAGACTTTGGCCTAGCTAAAAATACCTAGAAGTCTTTGTAGCCACAGCACCAGAAAATGGAAACAATCTTTGGTTAATGTTCATGAACTTGATGTTGGCAACTATTCCCTGTTAGTCCAGATAACTTTTATCTTCAGAAGTCATTTATTATTTTATGTTTCATAATTTTAGGTAAATCCTCAGGTTCTTTTTCACTTCTTGTAACCATCTTGTAACCATGTGTCCTTGAGTTATTCTGGTCTCCGGATACTGAAACCCCAGGGTATTCATTCAGCCACATTAAATAGAAAGGACCCAGGCAGCCAGTAGGAAACTGTCAAAAAGGAAGTAGCAAAAGGCTCGGCCACAAAAGCCACTGGAGTATCCGCTAAAATTACAAGTTCCTGTTATATTCTACTTTTATTCAGTAGAATTATTTCTGATTATTTAGTTTCAAAGGATTATTTTGGATCCACCCCTCCTTCCTTTGCAACCTAGGATTTATACTTCTTTCATTCTGGATAAAAACACTAGAAGAAATTGGGTCTAATACTGATTGTGACAGTCCTGAAAGATTACTGAACATGTTCAAAGATGCACAGTGAGGTTGATGCTTTTAACATCACCATATGCTGACTACTTGGGGATGTAATGTGAGGGGTAGTAGATAGATTGGACCTCACTATTTTCCATCTTTCAGATCCAGCACCATCACTGGAAAACATTAGATTTAAATTTCTTGGGTAGCAATTTATAAAGCATACCTGTGTCATGCTTTATACTTTAACATGTGACCAATCTCACAAATTATAGAAAAATCCCCTAATAGATGTTTTTCAAGGGCTAGGTGGGAAATTAACTAAACAACAAAGGTATGGCAATAAGTCTTTATTTTTCATACAGGGTATTAACTGCAGGTAACCATCAACACACTGCGATTTTCAGATACACAGAACTGAACAAAAGCGTATCAACATGCTGCCTCTTATGGTGTATAGAAAACTGGTGAACATTTTCAGACACAGGAAATTAAATGGCTAACACCATTTGTTGGTATTATGTGTCACGCAGCAGTGTTATTTAAGGTTGCCTTTACCTAAAGCAGAATTATCACTGGTGATAATTCTAAAATGCAGCTTTTCTGATGGCTATAACAAGCAAGCAAGGGGCAGAAGCCATGTTCTGAAGGGAGACGGATTTGGAACCTGTGTCTACACAAGTTGATACAACCATCTTCAGAGCTTAATGTTGGGTTTCCTCTACTACATACACTGGCAATCAGCATAAGAGGATTTTTGAAACAGCTAGGTCTAGCGTTATAAAACAGAATGCTGTCCATATAATAGAAGTACAGCTTCCTAACTTCTGCTCAGTTCTCACCTGTCGTCCTGCAAAAACCCTTATCTGACGAGTTTTAGTGAAAGCCTGTAACAGACTTCTCAACTCAGGTCTAGATACTAAGTATCAGAAACAAGTTCCTGTGAAAGGTGTGTTCAGAGGAACGTGGCAGTGCTTCTACTGGAGGTAAGTGTCAAGTTTCCGCTTGATGTTGTCAAAGGAGTCTGCTCCCATGTAATCAGCCTGGCCCTGTTCCCACCGCTCCTTCCTTTCCTCTGATGATACAAAAGGCTGTGGTGCAGCTGGGTTCTCCCCAAGGGACAGGTGTGACATGGCTCCTGAAACATGTTCCTAGAAGAAAGAAGTATAATCAGATGCCTTGAAACAGCTGAAAATCACACCATTAAAGAATGTATTAAATTGAAGGTAAGAAAAGCCAGGATGAGTTATCATGCAAAGTAGCAAAAAACTGAAAAAGCATTACATGAAACAAACAAAAAAAGACACAAAAATACAAGGGTCATATGATTTTTTTTCCTAACAAAATGAAGACTTATTGACTCAGTGGAAACATTGGGAGAACAAATTAATTAGGGTTAATGTTTAAGTTCTGCATACCTTTCTACAGAAGCCACAAGAGAAAGCCAGTGTATAGACCAAGTCTGAAAGCTGCAAACAGTTCATTAGAAAGTGTAAGATGGATAGACAAAAGAACACAAGTCTCATGATAAATTCTCAATCTGTGTGGGCTCAGAAAGGTTGAGAACTTAAACAGAAATACACTTGAGATGCTACACTTCAGAGAGAACCTACCCTGAGAGCCACAACACATACACAAATTGTCACATTGTAAGAGGGAAAGCTAAATGGTTTTGAGGCAATGTACCAAATTGTCTGTTCAAGGTTTCATTTTGATTACCAAGTAGCATCTATTCTTGTAGCTTCTGTTAATCTTAGTTTTGAACAACTTTGAATTCGCATCTTCAACTTTTCTTAGTTCATAATTCTCAGCCCTTGTATTACAGAAAGAACAGAATAAATGTAGCAAACAGCAAATCTACACTAAATTAAATTTGACTCATTATATATGGATAGGCAATCAATTTCGAGTATACCAATGACAGAATACTAATACTAAAGTGAGAAGGCTAGAAATTTTGGAGGAAAAAAAAGGTGAATAAATATGGAAACTGCTTTTAACAGAGAACATAGTAGAACAAATTTTGGATACTCGCTTTTTTTGCTTTATATATGTAAGTGTGTGTGTATGTATTTAAATATACCAGAACTCCAAGGAAGTTAGTGCAGGATTGCAGTATACCTACAGTGACTTAAGAAAGTAACTTCCACTGGATCAGTCCTGCCTTTTCCTTTCCTCTGAAACAGGGATGGTAAACCCAGGCTTTTCCTCAGTCCTCTGCTTCAAAATGTGGGGACTCTGAATTTATAGTGAGCTTGCCTCATAGCTAGGCCCTTGAGACCTAGTCAAGGATGTTGGGTCTGACTTAAAATAGCTCAGCACTTTCTTAACACAGTCCCGCTGCCTTGAAGCACCAACTGATAACATGGTGGGATATAATGCATGTACCACTGGTGGCTCACAGCTGCCCAGGAGCAAGATGTAATGAATCACAGCTCCATCATGAATATGTTAACTCTCCCTTCCTTCGCCATGAAAGGTACAGTACTTAGTTCTTGTCTGAATATATGTTAAGCAAGGTCCATCTCAAATTTTGGTAAGGATAACAGTTTGCCAGATCTGGGTTCTAGTCTCACTTCTGCTATTATTTTACACAACTAAGACAAGTAAGCCTCAGGTAATTTATCTGTAAGTGGGATGTTAATCACAGTACTTACTTGGTAGAGTAGACATAGGGATTAACTAAGAATGCTAACTTTTATTAAGCACTGTTCCAACTCGTGTACAAGTGTTAATTTATGGACCATACTTACTTAAGAAATGCTTAAAATAAAAGGTGTCTCCCTTTCTCATGTCTGTATTTTGGTACAAATTCAAGTGACATGACTAAAATCTATACCTTAGGAAAGAGAACAATCCCTTATAATGCTATAATGATAGCCAGGTAATTAACCAATTTCCTGTTTGTAATTTCTTGTTTAGTTGTTTTTGTATCTTGATGTTTAATGAGCAGTTTAATTCCTCATTCTCTTCCAATGCATCCAAAAGAAAAAAACCTCAGAGAAGGACCTTAGTTAAAGCCAGAAAACATGCTTTAAAAGTTTATTATAAATGTTAACGCATCATCTCTCTGTTAAAAAGATTCACAAACCTATAGATTCAGAGTAGTATAAACAGGAAATAATATAGAAAAGTAAAAGAGAAAGGATAGAAGGGAAAAGAAAAAAATGCAAGTTATTTATACCATTAGTGTCACTTAGTTCACTGAATA